TGCTGCTTTCCTCCACCCACTGGCCAGCAATTCCCGACTGTCAAAATGACAGCCGAGAGTCGCTGTGTAAATATGGAAACTAGAAGCCGCTGCTGTAAAAAAATAAAGAACAGACCCAGTGTTTATAAACGAGAGATACAAAATAACATTGTTACTTTTCTATCTACTCCGCTTCATGCATCTGCAGATCAAAGTCATGAACGTCTGCACAGGATGTCAGTAAAAGTGACACCAAACTCCGGAGTTATATCCTAAAAATCTATCCCCAACCTGGGAACTATAGGCCGGTCAGTCTAACATCGGTAGTTTGTAAAATGCTAGAGGGCATAATAAAGGATTATCTGGTAGAATTTGTTCAGGAAAACGGGATAGTTAATGACAATCAGCACAGGTTCAGGAAAGACCGTTCCTGCCTGACTAACCTGCTAACTTTTTATGAGGGGGTAAGTAGAGATATGGACGGAGGTAAGCCGGTAGGCAATTTGGGGCAGGTGAAGCTACAATGGGGAGAAACATATCCAAATACAGAACGGAACACTACTGGAAATGACAGCCATGTGACACCTCTACGGGGCCAACACATATTCTTCCAAATGTCCTGCCAGATACAAGGAGCCGAGACTGGAAACCAGCTCTTCACTGCTCCGGAATGATGAGTGTGCGGGGGGTTTACCAGTAATATGAAAGCCGTCCATGTCAGTGCTGTGGTACCTTCTAGAAGCTTGGTGTCTCAGGTCCATTCATAATGTGTAATATTCAGTACATTCCCTCCCTGGTGTCACCTGACAGTACATTCCCTCCCTGGTGTCACCTGACAGTACATTCCCTCTCTGGTGTCACCTGACAATGCATTCCCTCTCTGGTGTCACCTGACAGTACATTCCCTCTCTGGTGTCACCTGACAGGACATTTCCTCTCTGGTGTCACCTGACAGTACATTCCCTCTCTGGTGTCACCTGATAGTACATTCCCTCTCTGGTGTCACCTGACAGTACATTCCCTCCCTGGTGTCACCTGACAGTACATTCCCTCTCTGGTGTCACCTGACAGTACATTCCCTCTCTGGTGTCACCTGATAGTACATTCCCTCTCTGGTGTCACCTGACAGTACATTCCCTCCCTGGTGTCACCTGACAGTACATTCCCTCTCTGGTGTCACCTGACAGTACATTCCCTCCCTGGTGTCACCTGACAGTACATTCCCTCCCTGGTGTCACCTGACTGTCATTTCCAGTAGTTTCAGGTCCTAGACACGGATATACTTCTACCTGCACTGGCCGTAGCTGTGTATAATCTCCGCCAAGATAGTCCTCTGGTCTTCAGCAATCTAAAGCTGCCCATAGATGGCCCTCAGAGGCCCTGCACCCAGCTCACCAGACGCACCGGGTGTAAGATTTTCACCCGAGCCGTCACGGCATCCTATGAGATCAGTCGCTGCTCACCACCACTGGATTCCGCTACCTGGGAGTTCTGAGCCTCCTGAATACAATGGCCCGCAGCAGAGATTCCTCCATTCACACTGTGAGCGCGGAAGGTGGGAACCGATTGATTCCGCTAGCTGAATGAGAGAACGTGGAGCCGTGTGTGGCTAGCATAGCTTTGGTTAAGGGGGATGATATGTTGGCTTTCTAAGATAACCCCCTGTAAGAGGCGTACCCCTGTTTATGGAGACACTAGGTTGTTTTTTTTGCTATTCTTGAGCTATAAAATGAATGATATCAAAGTTCCCCTGAATATAATTGGAAAGCACGGTGCTCGGGTCAGTAGGGGGGCTCAGGCTCGGTTGGGGCTGCATGGTTTTTGGTGTGAAAGCTTCAACCTGTGTGTCTTAACTCTTAAATGTTCGCGTATGGCCAAACTGCCAGCACTGATGTGACCCATTCATGGCCAGCCTGTCCCCCATGGCCATCGCCAGCCTGTGCCACACTGCCATTCATTGCCATCCTGCCACACATGTACATTCATGGCCAGCCTGTCCCCCATGGCCATCGCCAGCCTGTGCCACAC